AAAAGCAATGATTACTGAATTCTTTGGATCATCAAGATGAGAATACAGCACTTTTTCAGCTAGAGTTAGAGGGCGTGCAAGTCTAGAATTATCAAGAAAAGTGATAAAACCAGTTACCGTTTCTTTACTACATCCAGAGTGTGTTCTAGTTTATGATAATCCAAAGTCTTATCTTCAAATTTACTGAGCGCTACCTTCCATAGAGAGAGAAAATTAAGAGTTACTCAAACGAGTTACCGAACGGCTTATAGGAGAAAATCGGACGAAATTAGTTCTGCCTGAGTTCCTCAACAATAGATTAACGAATGTCATTGTCCAAAGAACTCACGAAGTGAAGTCTTTATAATGAGTTGGCTTTAAAACTAATGACCTGAAATATATAAAAAGATATCAATTAACAGACATACGTGTCACAATATCTCAAAATGCAGCATTCAAGTTTATGCATTTAAAAAAATGGTGAAATTTCTCAGAAGTTGGAATCGCTACTACACAACAGAAACATAGATGGAACAATTAGGCAAATGCTAAACAAGCCTTTTGTATCCGAGTTCAGATTTCGTCACTAACCAACCTATTCGGTCTGTTATGACTTGTTAGGTAAGAGTGAATAAGGCATTCCAAGACTTTATTTCCCATCCTTAAACTAACAACCAGTGCACTGAGTGCACAATTAGCCCTTGACAAGTGTGAAAAACACGCAAACATACTCACATTTTGCTCAGTGTTTATAAAACGCCGCATTTTATCTGTCTTTTCTCATAAGGATTACATCTTGGAGTACCCCACGCGGTGACAGTCTCTTACAGTTTTGTTGACAATCACTTGTTTGTGGTCGGCACTAAACCCAAGCATAAGCGGAGAGTCTCATTTGGTGTCCATCGACATCAAACCAATGATGAACACAGGTTATACTGCAATACGCCATCGCTGGAGAACTGCTACTTTTTCTGAAGCACCTGCTTGCACTTCAATCACATGTTAGTATGGGGACGCGTACGTTGGCATCTTGCTGATTGCAGGAAACACAGCAGTAAAGCCTGTGCCCTCTAGTGGAAGGTTATTAAGGAGACTAGCAAAAAGACGACGATTGGTGAAACCATCACCGGAAAGGATGGGATCCTGGTAAGCTTTTAGAACAGGCGGCTAGAGAGTTGGGCGCAACACTCTGAAGGGAAATCTAACCAACCCGCACCATCGGTTCAGTCGTCCAGACTGCAACTTGAACCGGAACGGGACGCAGAAGTTGGTTCTCCAACCCTCAGTAAAGTTGAGTAGGCTGTTTCAAATCTCAAACAGTGGAAAGTGAAAGGAACTAACAATTTTTCAACAGATGCATTTAAGGAAGAAGGTAGAAAATTACTGAGTAAATAAACGGAGGTACTAGGTATGGAATAGGAATCAGAGGGATTCTCGTTAGGCTGGCTCAGATTGTTAATTACTCCTACCTATAAGAAAGGAGAGAATTCTACCTGTGACAACCAAACGGGGATGTTTGACTAGCATAGTGTCCAGGATCCTAGGATCCACAGTTATCTGACACCTAACTGCAGCTCCAGAACAAAAAACACGAAGAAACTAGGCAGGTTTCAGACCTGGGTGAGGTCGAAATAGTCAGATCTCGACTTCGACAGGTTTTAAAACACAGGTATGCTTACCGGCAGTCGGGACTTGCCACATTATCTGACCCGAAGGTGGCATTTGACTTTGTCTACTGAGAATTTCTGTAGCAATCTGAGTGAAAAGAGTACTGACCAAGTATATTACGCTAATCAAGGCTTCCTAACCGAACTCATGGAGTTATTTAAGAGCTTATGAAAAGTTTCTATTTGAAGTGAAGGCAATCAGCGGTATCCACTTCTGATGTTGTCGGAACGTCTTTTGTTTCCTATTGTAATTTTTTTTATAAAGACATGGATTTAAACTACTTTCTATAGGAGTATCACAAAACAGAGGAAGTTTACACAAGATTCTGTGTGAGAAATTCGTAAATCTATGAGAAAAAGCCTAGAGTAAATTGAACGAACAACTATACTTTTTTGTCACCCAAAAGAATGCGGCAATAAGTCACACCATAAGTTTGAAGCTACGTTTATAATACACAGAAGATAATCGGAGAATTTTAACTGACACACTGTTGACAAAACCGGTGAATATTAAGCCAACCGTAGTAGCATTTATCAAAGAAAAGCACAGGGTTACTTTAGAAACCCAACCAATGGGGGAGATTTCAAAAATGGATAAGTTGGCTTTCCATACTACCTTGAGTTTATGAGTAGTTCGCACACTTAATTGTCGTGCACTGGTGAGCAGCACAGTACTCGTGCTATTTGATGATAAATAAGATCGCATGTCTCGTAATAAAAATGACAATTACATATTTATAGGTTTAAGAGAAGGACGTCTTATTACAATGTGTAGGTGTGGTTCACTTATGGGAAGAAAAAGCAAAGGCATATTTTCAGCAAACAGATGTGTATACTTCAGATAAGAGCTTTGACCTAAGAATTGTTTACATACTATATGTAAGCTGGTTAAATGACTATTTATCAAGCTTTTCTGGACCAGTTTGGAATCAGTAACAGTCATCTTACGTACTGCCACGTACAGCTGATAAAGAGATAAAAGTGGGGACTGAAAGAAATATTTTCAATCACTGTAACAAAATTTGAATAACAGATCTTAAAAACAACATTTTGAGAGCGTGCATTATGACCTTATAGACAGCATCTGAGGGTGGATGTTAAACGTACTGATTGCTAGCTCAGGATAAAGTACATCTCAAGCCACGACGATAGCAAGCAGAGTATGTATTTTAGTTGGTGTTTACTGGTGTTCATGTAAGCTGGTGAATAACCACGAGTGTTTAAAGAATACTATGGATGAAATTAGTGATGTGCTGCGGCGGGGTACTCAGATACCCAACAGCAATACAGGAACCTCTATAACACTAAAAAACACTATTTGCGACATCTAGCCAGTTCATTCATGAAGCAGACTTTGAAACAAGGTTTTGTACGACACTATTACCGTGATGCACACTGAATTTTGTTTCCTGCTGATTTAGATAAACTGAAACGATGCTGGTTTTTGTCAGATGTACGGTTCACACCATAGAGAGAAATCATATTTTGAAGAATTGACTTCAGATACGATCGTCATTTCGATATATCCAATGCATTTATGCATGGTTGTTCGTCAACCTATCGGCCATGAGTTATCACATTATGTAGATCATTAGTTCACGCTTACTTAGTTCCCATAAACAGACAAGCAGAGAATTTCAACGCGAACGCCGATCCTTGTGAAAAGCGACTGAGTACAATTTGTTGACCCCTATTTAGTGCGTTTATTTGAAAGGTCTGCCGTCATGTGTACGACAGTTTCATGAGTCTTGTATCCCCGCACACATTTTCAAGCTAACCTAAATGAAATGAGAGGTGTAACGTAAATTCGCCAGGGATTTTAGAGTAACATTTAGCATCGATAATATGGTGTACAGCCTACATGGCTTACTGGACTTAGTCAACGAACTTGCACAACATAATCCGCTTGACGCATTCTCCTATTTTTTCTCTGAGCTTTACACAGTTTGAAAAAGCTATTGCTTACGCCTAATTTTCTCAGCAACATGTAACTTACTAACCAACTCACTCTACAAGTCACAAATACCAACCCACAAAAACATTCATCTCACCAGAGTAAAAAGCAGGAAAGCAGATTTCTTTGCTCAACACAGAAGCGAGTCAAACAACAACAACTAGGCCCCAACTAAACGTGAGATATGAACAAACTACCATTCTTCTACGCTAGTGCTATTGGTGTTGGACTCAACTACATTTTTGAATATCCATGTGATGGCCTAGAAGATGAATGATTATTGAGGAACAGAAGTGATGTGACATACGAGTCCAAAGGTAATTATCAAGAATATGGAATGTCAGTATTAGGTCTTCCCCTTCCCCTAAGAAAAGATAATAGGGAAACAGTTGATCTAAACAGTTCCACAGTATACGTTAGATACATCAACAACTTAGTACCAAGCCTTTGAACGTCCTCCAGTGCCTTAGCATCTTTTCAGATGCAAGAACTGGGCGTTTAAAGGCAATACCCCAGGTAGTGTCGCATAAACTTGGGATATAATATCTTAAGCATGAATGCTCTATGGAGAGACTGAGCTTTATAAGCCTCTCCAAAAAACTTCAGGCGACGAAATATGTTGCAATATCTCAATTTTTACTACAGAACCAGTCAGAAGCTACAGATTGGCGTCCGAAGTTTTAGTCGGTTTGGTGTTCACTACAGGGTTTCGCAGTCTCGAGATGAAAAGCCCACAAAACTGAACAAGCATCGATGCATTGCATCCACTTCTAGAGGCAGAGTTACCAGAAAAAATAAAAAAGCGTATGTATTATTGTAAGTTACTTGTCAGAAACGTAAAAAAAAAAGCAATTATATTTCCTTTGAAAAAGTACGGAAACGAAAGCCCAATGAAATTTGACTGCAATTTTCAAGGTCAAACAGTTCCCAGTGGAAACAAATCGGCTTCAAATTTCTTGATGTGAAAAAGGTGGACTAGCAATTCGTCAGGTTTCATAGTTTTTGTGTTAAAAGGTGTCACTGACATAGAACAGTCATTGTTTCAACATTCAACGTGAAAAGTGGGAGTGCATTAGATAGGTTTTGAGCCCCTACACATAGGTATAGTGGTTGTACTTTGTTAGTCTGTCTCGGTCCTGTAGTCAACAGGTATTTATTGCTGTCATCCTCAGCTTGGATCTGGCAAAAAGGTTTCCGTGGGTTTGGTCATACAACATGTGGGTTGGATTAGTTTGGAAGTTAAAGGCTGTTGGTAAGTGCAAAAGTCTTGTAGCTCCTTTTTCTGTTTCTGAATGAGGACAACAGAATGGCAGTGAAAAAGCTATGCAGGATGTCCTTGAAAAAGTAATAACGGCAGGTTGCATGGACAGTTTTAGTACGGGGAAGTCAGAAAAGGAAAGGTAAATCAGGACAAACAGGTTGTAGTTGAATTTGAGGAAGAAAGTAATGCGAGGCTAAGTAAACTTTCTTGTTAACCGAGGGGGAGGCAGTTAACGGGGTGACTGGTACTTAGCATACATTGTTAGTGGGTGATATAGGGTAGCATACTTGAGCACTCTTCTTTTAAAAGAATGAACGGCTGTTCTATAAACTCGTCCTGTGGCGTAGCATTCCGCTAGGCGCACACTTTTTGAAAAAGGTTGACGTGAGCCTATTATTGGCTCCCTACCGTTCTACTTCGATGAAATTCTTTCCTGATAAACTCCATGTTGCTGGCGTGGTCCTCCTGTTTGTTTAAAAGACTTACTGGCGACCTGATAATCTGCTATACTATACCCCGCTCTTTCTGCAGTAGCTTAGGATTAGTAGAGTTAGATGCCTCTTTCTGATCGTGTGCACTTTCACTTCTCCCAGAAACTACTCTCGCTGCAGTTCTGTGGGCTTTCTCAAAGACACTGAAGCCTTTATTTTGTGCAGGAGGCGTCATCTTGTCGAATACTTTTAGATGTTGATGACCATACACTCTGAAGTCTGTTAGGAAGGGATATGGTGTGAGAACACTAAATTACTTACTCGGAATATGATGAAGCTCGTTTTCACTGGCACTCCTCCTAAGTCTGAGTTAGTGTTCAGAATTTGTGAGGATTTTGGGCCCAGGTCCTTTACCTGAGACGCTTTGATGGTGTTACGGTTGCACGAATTATATTCCTCTTCAAGGTTGTAGTCGGCCATCCTCACACCAGAGAGCTTAAAGCATGTTAGATAACGCCTCTTCCCGTCTAAGGTCATATCTGTAGTGACCTCAGAACATTCTGAAGTACTCTAGAGTTTGGTCTCCTCCTTTACCACCCTCCACAATTTAATGTCATCAGAAAAATGGTGGACCAACGAGGGGATGGACTATGGGTCTTTGGAGGAGCGGTTTTAGGGTTACTTCCTGGTGTACTCTTATGGATGATGGCCTGTTAATGAAACGGGTTATGTTCGCTTCTGTTCGGAAATGTCTTCTACGCATGGCTTGGGCCTTTATCGTAGGGGTTTGTTTCCTCTGGTTAACGTGATTCTCGATGACCTTACCCCTGGGAAAATTAAAGGGACAAGGTTGCCCACCAACAGGCAGTCCCTGTTAATAATAATGGCATCCGTGGGACCAAAAAAGACACCATTTTTTGTGGCTTACTCAACAGCAAAACATATTTCAGTTCACTACTTCTATTTTTCTAAATTTAGTCCCAGCTAATAAGTTTCACGGAAATTTCTGCTAAACTTAAGCCGTTGAAAGTCAGCACATGAAATTGGTACCGACTATGAGTGTACTGGAATCAAAAAGCTCTTTTATTCTTCCGATTTTTATCTCTTTGGTCAGAAGATAGTCGCCTTCAGATCGAGAGCATCTTGTTGTGGGAAAGCACTTCAGTCCTGACTGCTGAATTGGTTGGTCAAAACCAGAGGATGGTCAGAATGTCACTGAGTTCACAATACTTAACTACAACAAACAGAAACAAAGAATGTTAACTGGAGTATAACTTCATAATTATCGAAACCCTGAATTTATTGATTGTAAAGTTGACCGGGGAAGTTTAACACTTGTTGACCACAAGGTTGTTACGCCCCATGAAAATGGCGGACCAAATGCTCTGGAAGTCCGCTCTACCCGTTCAGATAAAACTGTTGACCTGAAATGGTAGGGCTAAAATGCCAATTTTCGGCTCTCGGTTGCAGCATTCAGCAAGATTACGAATCTTTGAAGTGAACTGTTACGAGCATACATAAATTATGCAGTCCTGAAATCATCAATAAAGTACAACAGATAAACAACTTGCATATATTCTCTCACGAACACCTCATCACTAATCTTAGGCTAAAAGTACGAGGTGTAATAATGGAAGTATTAGCTTCAAGCTTTACTTTTCCCTGGGCAATACATATAATGTTCGGACACAAACCGTGATTTTCTGTTAATGAGAAGAAAATACTTCGACCTGCCTAACTTGTGAATTTTTGCGTACTTATTCTGCTAGGATGTTTTATCATGTAAGCATGCGGCATATATCCTGTAGTGACAGAATAGGTGGGGAGTGAGACTGCCTGCCATAAAGGTACATGTGCTTTACACAGTAATCTATTCTTACCTGTAAAAATGGTGCGTGCCTATGTATACAAGAATAAATATTATCATCATCTGCACACCATATTCGAGTGACTTACCCCTCCTTTGATTGATATACGCAGGTGCGCTGTCGGTCAACTGTGTCAAAGGAGGCCTGAGATATATTCCACGTGTGTTCTCTGGTTCATTTGCTCTCGTAGAGATACCAGTAGTGCCGAAACCATATCCGAGCTCAAGCCTACAGGACTACATGAGAATGTAAATCAGTCATTAATTCGATTCTTCACCACCTGGTCGATTCTAGCCACCGTAGTCCGCCTTTGAGACTGTCCACAAAGTCTAAGAGGGTGATTCCAATGGGTTGCCGCACAACATATGGTGCATGGAAGAGGCACTGGTGTTTCATAAGTCCAAGTTGGATCTTTCGGTGTAGAATTAGTGCATTCCGTCCCCCCTCTTACTGAGGTTTGACCAACGGGGTGTAGTTAGATATCTTTTTCTGTCTCGTGAGCACCGTTTAATACCACTTCCGACCATTGTAGTAATCGTACAACTCGAATAGCCGATCGTTATTTATTTCCATTATATATTGCTGCGATCTAACGGCTTTGTTAAATATAACTATTGAAAAGAAAATGTTCGCTGATTTTTCCTCCTGCTCCGTAAACATATTCAACCTTTAAACAGTTTTCTAATAACTTACACGTGATCGACAATCAAAATAACAGGACTACAGTGAAGCCGTCGAAATAAAATTCTCGAGGTTTCCTAATATTTAGTTGTTTTATTTCCGTATGCTGCGTGAACATACTGCTGTTTCCATACGAAAGTCTTTCTCATTATCTTCATGCTTCTTCTGGCTTTGCGGCACTGATTTTTTGCTTACTGAAACTCCCTACTTCAAAGTTTCTAAGAAGTGGCTACAGAAGCCAATCAAGCACGCAGAATTTAAACTCGGAAGGTTACTGGTGATACCCGTTCATATTTTTTTCCTGTCTTCTGATAACATGAGGGAACGGTTAGTCAACCGTTGAATATTTACTGCCAAAATATAACTGCTTTCCTCTGGATATCTAAGCTCAGATAATCTACCAAGAATTCACACATCTCATAGGTTGTTCAGGAGTCTAAATGAACACAACGCGGGTCTTGCACAGAATACAATACATGATCCTATTTTAAGAGAATGGGAGGAGAGCCTGACGCACAGTCTGTAGAGCAAAATGAGTATTCTAGGTCAGGTGGCAGAAAATATACACATCAAAGTAACACGCTTGCAGCATTTAGGTAAATAACATTCAGTTGTCGACTCAAAAATCCTTCAAGACTAGCAGTTTTACAACATTTTCTCATGGCGTGGTTTGCCTGGGCTCAAATTCATTCTCTCCTATCTTCTTGGTGTCCCGTTTTAGACCAGTCTATTTTATGAACTAAATAAGCTATGATCAACATGAGTTTGCGAACATCTTTGTCGGTCATCTAATATCTTGCTGACTTGTGAAAATCTCTCGGTTAACGCACTGCATAAAGAAACTGAGGCTGTCTGGCATGACGCAACCACTACTCATACGATTTATTGGCTCCTGCACTTAGCCTATTCTTCTCTGCTTTTCTCCGCCGATATTATTAATAATTAATAATTAATTAATAGATAATTTCTGTTATTGGCAATTAACGGTGTAAAATGTTCTCACCTTTAGTGCTCTAAACATCACTTACATTTTTACGATAACACAATTCGAAATGTTATAAAGGACTATATAAATACACATATGTCGTTGTTATTGCCGTGCGCCATGCCAAACGGTAGCGAGAGTTGCCTGGAATATAGCGCACATTATTATAATTACTATTATTGCCTAGAACCCCGTACTCAAGCGGACTTCAGAAACTGTAAGTTAAACTTTGAGATGTGAAAATTCACGTAGTCAGGGCACTGTTTTCACAATCATCAAGGGTTAAACACGGACTTCTGAAATACGGACAATGATATTCAGGTATTGCTTCAACAATACTGCATTAAAGGGAATCTGTCATCAACAGCAAGTTGCGGACACCGCTTGGTTCATCAATTTGCGGCTCATCGCTCATCAATGTTATTTAAGGCTGCACAAGAGTACTTTGGAACAGCAGTTGCCAGTCAGGTATCGACGATAATGTGGCAGCCAGCACTTCTCCGAAATCGATATCTCAAGGTTGATCAATATTCCACGTCGATGCTGATCATCATGGTATTGGTGGAGTTGTTTAGGTGAAGGCAGGCTGCCAAGTATTCTCGCCACACCCGAAAATTAGAGAAAATAATATGAATGGCAAAAATGTGTGAAGATGGAATGGGGGATGAGCGTCTGCAGAACTTAATATTTTAGCCGTGGATTGTCTTTGACATTCTGTATGATATTTTGCTAGTGTTCGAACTCAGCTGTCTCACAAACAACCAATGATAATAACTTTGTTTTGCACTTGAGAATCTGTGATAGCTTAGTTATATTTTTGAGGCCATGGAAAGGGAAGGTAGATTGTTACTATGGTTTCGAAGGAAAGGAAGCTGCAGGGGTAGGCGGAAGTTTAGCAGGCTTAGATTGTGATGGGTGGTTAGCCTTTGTTTCCTTATTAGCATCATGATTTCGTTCAAACCACAAACTAGCTTTTGGGGAATATTTTTGGCATATGGTACCGGCTACAAAGAGTTTGGTATTATCCGCAAAAACACAATTATTTCCAGTATGGGTTACAGACACGCCTTACTGGCGGGTGCCTACAAGCACGAAACCTAAGTCTCGGGCTTCCTGCCGATTGTCTCCATGTAACTGACGATGACTACCTATTTGGAAGGTCGGATTTTTAGTA